ATGTGAACAAAGTTATATTGCATATTGTCGAGTAATATCTAAATGGTGCTTTCCAATTTTTCTTGTTAATACCAAATGTCTAGACGAAATACTACAAGGGTTAGACTTATAGGTACATTCTGTGACCTGCTATTTGATTAACTTATTGAATGTGATACTGATAACTAAGTCCAATTCTGTATTGCACAACTAATTTGTTGTTCTTCGGAATTGTATGAATCCATTAAAGTCCTCAAAGGTTTGTGATGACGTTTACGCCGTTCTAGAACTTATGGAATTTGTGATTTTGGAAGATCATGTAAGAAACCGGTTTAGAAGTTTACGATAACTGTGTTCCATATTCACTAGTTACATTTTAATTCAACTAATGAATTATTGAAATATAAATATAACAACTATACTCAGTGTTTTACCTTATAAACCGTGTCCGTATTTATAAATAGTCGATATGACGCTAGAACAAATATAGATAGAGAATAATATGAATTCATTATAATCCATGGAATGAACAAGTAATAAAATGGATTACGTAATAATTCATTTCATTTTTGAAATTTAGTTACCAATTTATTACAGCATCCTGTCATTTACATCTGCTCACTTAATCATCTGTAATTATGTGAACTCTTCAGATTGTAATCACTTATTACGTAACCCACTTTTTCAGTTCTTAAATCCACGGATCATTTATAACCTATAGGATTTTCACACCACTTATCTGTCTGTGAGATCCAGTCCACTATTACACCACCCATCCTTAATCTTTTATTGATTGTTAAAAGCAAATAACCTTTGACCTTAAACTGCACACATATATATATATATACTTATGTATATAGTCATTGTTGATAACCTACGTCATTTCAATTGTTCATATTCAGGTATGTCAACTGTTTCCCACATCACTGTGAACATCATTGCTATTCATTCCCATGAAAGTAGGAATAAGGTGAAAATGAAAATTGTGCAAAATATTATTGAATAATCACAACTGCTGAAGCTGAAAATCAAGTTTACAAGTTGATAATAAGAATTCTTAAGTAATAATTGTTCACTTTCTTCTCAACTTCCGTTGCAAAACTTTCATCATACTTCTCAATGATGCGGTGCTTATTGATCCTTTGGTTCGTTTAATGCTTATGTACACTTCACTCCGTCTTGGTAATGCAGTTGTATTATTTTGGAAGTTCTGCGTAATATGTAACTTCCATTTGCTGCAATACCTAAGAAGTTGATGAGCTATGCAGTTCATTTTTGATAATTGATATAGCTTACCTGTAAGAGTTCGTCTTTTACCAGTTCTCTCCTTAATGCTTTCGATAACTTCATCTACTGACTCACCGTGCAGTATTACTGGCTTCAAGTTCTCTTTTTCTTCTGATGACAATCTTCTTGTCCATGGATCACATACCATCCATGAATTACTACATGGATGGTTGTGGAGCATATTGTAGGATTTGATGACATATCCTTGCTCCTCTAGTCTTACACGGAATTTAGATTGGCAATTACGGAATTTATACTTTAAACATCAGATATGAATTAAAGATCTTACGATTCTTGCTTCATTTTCAAACCTTCCGATTTCCGCTTATGACCAAACGTACAATGAAACGTTACAAACAGGTATTTGAACATGACATCTTTTAGCAACCTGCTTTCCGTGTGGATGTAACGAGTATAAGTAGTCTGAGAAGCGATAAAATTACTATTCCATACTTTTTGAAACTATTTTAAGGCGCTATCGAAGTCACTCCAGCACGGGAAACGCTTGTTCACTATCATACTTCGAAAAGCATCGCTAAGGTCGACTGAAATGTCACTTGAGCATGAAGCACTACAAACAGAGAAAATTAATTATTAAAAAGTTATTCCTTGCAACAATAATAACCCAAGGAAATACTACAAATACTTATGATTTACCTGTGACTTAACATTTCGTTGAGGTTCACTACAGTTGTTGGGATCACAAATCAAATTACAAAGCATCAACAGAGCCAAAGCGTACACTACAAAACAGAAAGTGCTAAATTAATGCTTTTGGTATCAACTTCGTGCTTTTTTTATGCGGCATAAGATGACTTATATATGAAGAAGCTTGATACTCATGTAATCCAACGAACCCACGGCAATCGAAATACGGAATGACCGCCTCTAATCAGGCCGTTCAAGGTCGTTGAAACGAAAGGGCGGGCACATTAGAAAGGATCCAACGCTTAAACCGTGCCCACTATATTCGTTTGTGCTTGTGTCGTAGTTCTTGATTCAGTTGCGTTAATTCTAGGATTCCTAGTTCATACAATGTTTCAAATACTTTCAAACATTATACTGGCGTCGCGGTGGTGCCTGCGATGGAAAAGTTAGATATTCATATAACTTCTGAAAGGTTCAAAATTTGGGCTATGACCAAGGAAGATGATGAGGATGTAAATATTGTGGCACATCTCCTCACATTCATCAGAAAAGAAACATATAGCTTATTAAGAACTCCGGCTTTGCCGGAAAAACCCATTTCGCTTCCTTATACAACTCTCAAGGAACTACTACTAGACTATGTCAAGTATGTAAATTTTGATTGCAGTAAAAGGGAAAAACTTCGTAAAATGATTCATCAGGACATCACAAATTCTACTACATCACGTCATCCCAACCCAGTGCATACTCAAGTTTATGCAGATAATTCATTGAGGAGTTGCAATGCATTTCACGATGATTGGCACAAGTTTGGTCAGTGATTGTCCTGTGGCAAGTTCTACTCTTTTAATTCATGTAAATTTCGTAATTCTAAGTGCTTTAAATGTGGTGATATTATACATATTCAATCAGTCTGTTATACTGATGTTCATCTTACTGCAAATAATATTAAGTCTTGTAATTCTGATTCTACTGAATCGAGTATTCATAATGATCATTTATCTTTATCGACGATTTTAAAAGACAGTGTAGAGTCATATAGCAGTTCGGAGTTAAATGAAACTTAGAATCCTTGCGAGACAACGGTTTCTAATCAATCAATTTGTCAGAATTCTCATGTTATTGTACCAGATAGTTTTCCTAATGATTCACACATTTCTAATGAAATTCCTTGCAAATCTGAAGGAAATATGTTGAATGAACCTAGTCATGATCGAAGACCTGATGTAGTTTTGATAGATGCTGATTTATCTAATGATCCATTACTCTACAATGACATTCTTAATAAATTTCATGAAAATATTTCAGAAGAATCAAATCCTGATGTCATATCATATATTACCGATCATCATAATGCATTTGCTTCTTGTGAAAAACTTGTTCAATTCGAAGCACAAGTAATAAATGAGCTCAAGTTTGATTACAATTCTGATGATTTCATATCAACTGCTGTTTACCCTTATCACAAAAGCACTTCTAATGTTTATTTTGACCAATGTGAGAAATATGTTATAAATGAAGCCATATCGTTCATAACTTGGGGATATAAAGATCCGACATTATTTCGTGGTGGAGGATAGTGTTGGGAAATCTGTGCTCTAAATTCTAGATAGTGGTTTCGGTAGAAAAACGACACGGCGATTGTATACAATCCCAGTAAGCATATGGGTCTGTTTCGATTTCGTTTGTTAATTCTAATGCTAATGAGCACATTCTAGATAATACAAAGTCCTTATCCAACACACTGTCCGACAGACACAGGATGAACTTGAGAAGAGGGCGTACAATTCATTACAGACACCTAGACTCCAATTTAATCTGTGACGGATGTGGTGTTTGAATGAACTAACGATTCCTTTGTACTTGTTGAGTGCTCGATTTCAAATTCTAGATACAGCACATTCGTTAGTGATTATCTAGTGCTTCTTGATCCAATTACGTTATTTCTGGAATTCTTAGTTCATACTATAATTCAAATACTCCTAACTGTCATAGGGCCGCGATTATACAAACTAAAAGTGTATTCCGAATAGGATCAACTCGAAGTCAGTATATGCGGCTTGACTGTTCGCCAGTTGATATAAAGTGCGGAAAACATAATCTAGAATGTTGCGAAGGCAAACTCCAGGTTCCATCATTGTTGGGGTGGCACGAGAAACTTGATATGTATTACCCGACTGTCAGGTCACTTCTCATCCTTCAGTAACTCAGCAAGAATAATCATAGTTTGTGTGGTCGATCATGGAAACGTTTGTTTTTTAATCTTTTAACCCATTTTGTTGCACATCTTTGTGGAGTTCATTGAAAGATTCGTGGTAACGGAAGGTTTGATGTTTAAAAAACTGGAGGGTCTCCTGAAGTTTCTAGACGGTTTATAATGGATGTCGTTGTTCAGGGATGAACTAAGGTTTTCCGTCTCTCGCGAACTTGAAGCAGATGCTTTTCGTCACAGGTTGCTTTGTGGACTTTTCAACCGTCAGTGATCATGCTGAAGGGTAGGAATGCGAGAGTACTACAGAGATCTGTAGTTTCGGACAGGCGCAAAAATTCTAAACTCAAAAGCTTTAGTTGCATGTTTTGACATAATAACAATAAAATGTATAACTGCTGAAAAATATCTCGGTATACGAAAAGATATCCCATATAGTATTACAACAAAGAACAGACTGACAATATATCGTTTAATGTAATAGATCACAAGGATTTGGACCGTAACACCTTTATAATGAAGGGCTCCAAACCAAGCCAAAGTAAAAATTAACTTGAAATATCTGATGCTTTTCCCTATGTCATATGATAGAACGCGAGGCGACCTTATATTGACGATTAAGCAATTACCGTTATCTAACACCTTCCAAAATTTAGCATCACCGAGGTCTTAGAGGGAGTGTTTAAAAAGCACGAATATACGAAGTAATATGGTCAATGAATGGAACGCTTAAGTCGAACAAGTGGAATCAGCCCCATCAGTAAGCCTTTTCAAGAAGAAGACGAATCTTCACTGGAAAAAAGGGTCAGAGATTAACATATGCCTACAGATCTAATATTCTGTAGATGGCTGACCGAGTGCCTTAAAGTGTGTTCAGTAAAACTGTTGTCAGCGCCAATGTCGAAGACTGGCAGAATTATATATTTTGCAGATTTACCTACCGTTAAAAATATACCAAAGTTCATACTTGGAAAAATCAATGGTACGAAAACCGGTTAGGAGAAAGGTTGTTAAATCCGATTCACAAATGTTTTGCGTCTTTGACATGATTCCATTACATAAGCTTATTCGCGCGTGATATAAATGTCTTGCTGAAGGAAACCTGCCTCTCGCTCACGCAGTTGTATTCTTTGAAGTTTTTGGAAATAGTAGGTACCTCTATTCTGGATACAATTTCGTTTCAAAAGTACCAAATACTTTTCCCTCATCAAGTATGTATATATTCGTCGTAGCACTACTTTTAAGTAATTTTAAATGACTGAACCCAATCTCCCAGGTTTGGGGAGTCATTTGACCTTTACCAAGGTCAAAGGCTAATTTCCCCAAGTCTTGAAGAAGTTTTGGGGTTTTAGTGCAATTTCCCAAAGTTTACTATACCGGCTTTCCCAAAAATCGGTAGCTCGGGAAGAAAACCTCGAAATTTCACTAATTTCGGAAGATTAGGGGTTTAATATAACAAAAATGCTAACTCAAGTTCTGTCATTGGTCTATACATCTCGTTTATTCACTCTGTTGTCAATGCTTGTTTTTTGAAGATTGGTATAATAAAATCCTCACGTGTCCAGCTCAGCACGGTACCCAAGCAGTTTGACTAAGCAGACTGAATGTTTATCAACGTAGGATAGGCAATATATTAAGTATCCTTATCCACTGTTTACCTCAACGAGCAATTACAACTGGTGTAAGAGTAGGTTAAAAAAAAGCTATGGGATACCAGTACATGTAAACATCAACTGTTGAACTTAGACATCTTGGTAGGTGGAGGCTACCTGCTGTGGTTAACAAGGTTATCATAACTAATGATCAGAGGCTCAGTGACATGGTTCGGATGCTCTTTGTCTCCCCTTAGGTCTACGGTTTCTAACTTACCGTACAAATTCGTCTTTTTGCCACTAGTGCATATTTTCCTCCAAAATCGTATCTTCGATGATACGATTTTGCGGGCATCGATCGATGTCTTATCTTTTGTGTTGGCACAGCTATTGTAACTACCTCTATTCTTGTAAGGATGGTCCTGAAAATTTTATCTCGCTGAAATACTGGAGTTCGTCAGCTAGAACTAATGTATGCATTTGAGAGGATCTATGTTGAATATGACTGACTATACCTTTTATGTTGGCAATATGTTTACTTTTGTAATAGACCACCATCACTAACCTTGGACTTATTTAGTGCTTTTCGAAGCAGCGTTACAAACTAATATTACCCTCAGTAGTATAATGGGTTCAAAGTGGCGAATGGTTCAGTAAGCTCGTTTGTATTTCTTTTGTTTCTAGTTGCACTTTATTATTGATTGAATAATGAATCAACAAATAGTATAAATTCCTCTGACTAGGTAATGGGTGTTAGCAGTAGTAATAGAATGTCTTATTAAGTACATAAATGTATGAGTGCCGTGATGTATTCGAAGCGAAATCTGATTTGGAGACCAGTCTCCTATCTGAAGATTCCGTAATCTGAGCACTTGCATTTGTGCATTTTTAATAATAAAATGTAACTATTCTTCGTTTCTAGGGTATGATGTGCTCAAAACACACTTCTAGTAAGTCTCGATTACTTCTATTTGCAGATTTGTTCCATAATGTGTTTCGCTGGGCTTCCAGTCAGGTGGTTTTCAATAGTACCAATATACCAGACATAAAAGTTCCAAGGTCTTTAAATGCTGTTGCCGAGAAAACTCCACAACCAAATATGTAATTCTTATATTTCAGCCTGACTGAATGAAGTTTGGGCCATCATGTTATTACAGAGGAATGTTTGACTTCATTAGTGGAAGATAAACAATATTACGAAACCCCCATTCTTCATTTACTCTCACGAAGAAACAACGTGATTGCAACACTAACTGACTGTAATGGACGAGTTCTGAATGGCACTAGTTGTGGTGCTGAAGGTTTCCGGAACGCTCGTAAAATGTCTACTGTTGCTTTTCAAACTGTGGGTATCTCCATAGGACTGAAGGCGAAAAAACTTGGGATTGGGGCTGTGCGTGTTGTATTTAATGGGCTAGGGTCATGTAGGTTGGTAAGTATTTCCTTGCTTTTTGGTTAATCTAATAGCCTGTTCTCTCAGGTTTGAATATCTCGGGACTAAAGATGATCTCTTTGACGGATGATACAAAAGTTCATTATGGCCATGGGAGAAGACCTAGAAAACAACGTAGGATTTAAAAGGAACTTTCGCATCCCTCCTGATGTAATCATAGTAGTGGGAGTGTACATAATATAAACCCTAAATTTCGGCCTATTTATTTGTGAGTCTTCTGTGTGTAGTTGCACATTACTTTTCAAGTTTGCGTTAATGAAACGTTCAGAGATTCTATTTACTGATCGGAATGTTAGACAAACTGTCACATTTGATGTAAAAATGCATCGCTCCTAATGAAGATGTGTATCTTATCGGAAATCCCAGAAATTTCAAGAAACTCAAGGCAATTAAAAAAGACGCTTAATTCGTTCTCTGTCCTAAGTTCTTCCCAATAAAAGTTAACATGAACTACCAAATAATTGTATTTCTGATTGCCGTATACTTATGCTAGGTGAGTATTGGATTAAGAGTCCCTTGAAATGCCGCCGGTCACTTGTTATTACTTCAGTTTTACTGAGGCCCAACTTTTATATGTACTAATTACTTCGAAAATTACATGAACACGTGAGAAAAAGTGAAACCAAACAAAATTCGCAAGGCGCACCATGGAACAATGGTTTGTGTAAATGCAATCGGACCCAGATAATTTCAAATGAAGCGCGGCAACCTGCCCCATATCTTTTACCTTTTGAGAGTACTATCTGCACATTCTACTTCGGTTAAAGATCTAACTAGTCTTGGATACAAAATAGTAACGTTTATTGCCAGTTACATAACTTAGTTTCGGTACTAAGCATATGTTTCTAAGTTGTGGTTCAAGTTGACGTTCTGAGATCTGATTAAGCTTGCGACACTGAAAATATGCAGGGTCAGAAGTTAATTAATAAATATACTAAAGAGATCAATAAGATCGGTTATTGACACTAGGGATAAATCTATCTGTTATATATTCAAAAATGTTTATTCGATGGTAGTTTTTATTTTATCTTAAATCAATTACTGCATTAAGTGGTGCAATCATGCTAAGTATGATTGCATCTAACCTTTCCTTAACCTACTGTCTTGGAGAGAAGCATCAAGGCATTCATTCTGATGAAAGCTACTGGCAGGTTCATGCATTTGTTCCTTAGAATTACGAGTTTATGTGCTCTAGTGATTTGGAATCCTAGATCACCAACATTTTTAGGCACGCTCTCTGTATCCATCAACACAGTTGGGACATATGATACACAACTTCGCCTTATTACTTTCATCACTGGAAGATAAGCCCTATTGTGTAGGAAATTATTGACAAGACATTACAAAAGCTGTGGAAACAGCAGCGGTTTTTCTTGGCACTTTAAACCAAAAGATTACAAATCAGCGGCGTCTGCTGAACTAGCTGGTAGTTGCTCTAAAACTCCCATCTAGTTGCGAGTATGAAAAGCGGAGGCAGCTCAGACATAAGCTGACAATTAGCCTACACTGGTCATGGGCAGTGATGAATAGCAAATGCAGAGGATATGGGAGGCAGCGGCGATGAGTGATACTAGACAACTGTTCATAATTGTCAAAAAATGTTATTGGGAATCTGGCTATTATTTAGACTATCTTGGAGAAAGTTGGGACTATTATTTACTCTTAGTCCAGGAGATTGGACTGGCGGGGAGCAGTTAGGTTAGCTAAAATCTGGGGACTGGACGCGATCCCTTCTAACTGGTTGTCACAATCTGTAAGCAAAGATAAAAATCGTCTTACGACAATCACAGGTTAGTTAGTATAGTGTCTAAAATATTAGCTTCAGTAATACTTTGACACCTAACTAGAGATCATAAAGAACAAAGCCGAGAAAATCAGCTGATTTAAGATTTGCGTGTGTATACACACTGTAAATTTCTGGAATGTAGACATACTGTCCAACGTCCTGTTATAGTTTTATTAACCTACGCTGGGTCAGCGTTCGACCTCGTTGACCGTGAGGTTCTATGACTGGCACTGGAAGGAGTACAAGACAATCACACTAACATTGTATAGGTCTTCTACACGAACAATGCTGGTAGATTCAGGGCTTATAGCGAAACCTAGCCGGGACTGGTTATTGCGCAACAGTTCGTACCGTTCTAGTTTGTAGACGCGAAACATTGCCGGTAAGAGTAGAGGATATTTGCATTCGGCCATAGATTTTTTTGAAGTACTGCTCGCAACCACAGAGTAAACATTCCCTAGGTTAGGAATAGAGTACTAGATAAAGATGGGAAGTAGATCGATGAGGTAGTGAATCTTCATCAAATTAGTTAACTGAAACATGTGTTACGTATGCCCAAACACTGCCTACCTCGACTGCCGATGAAGTCTTATGCAGCAGTAGATTAGAAGAAAGCTAGGAACAGGCAAACCAAAATGTAGCAGCAGTCCATGGCGTCAGTGAAAACTAGACCGAGCCATAGTGACATGCAGACCACCACGTTGGGGTCCGTCCCTTATCTTCCCCGAACTCTGACTAAATTTCCCTTAACTTTTTATTATTTATATTTTCCCGAGTCTTATGCCTAATCTTTCGTATTACCACTGGTACTGTTGCTACCTCTTTCTCAAGATTTGGCCTGACAGATCCATCTCTTCGCCGTAACGGAGTGTGGTAACTTGAACCCAAAATCACTAAAGTTATTTTCCTCGAATCGGTAAATGGGTACATATCTAATTCCGAAAAGTCGCACGAACCTCGAATGGTTTACCATCTTTTTTAGTCTTTTTATAATTTCGAGTCAAGAGAGACCCCGTGTACGAGGGACTCGGTACAAAAATTGTGAACCACAAAAACCGATACTACTGGGTCTCACGTACATCAAGTGTTTAAGCACTAAGAAATGTCGATCGTGAAGTTTTAATTTATGATCCTTCTATGTCGTACTATGTGATACCCACAACTCAAGATTACCATACATAAGCACATTCCAAGCTAAACATTAAGTACACCACAATACACTAACCCAACGCAGACAAAGGTACATCTAAGATAAATTATACTAGCAATGGAGCTATGGATTTGATAGGTGAATAATCAGTTACGATAACATTACAGATATATATTTATTAGAGTCGAGAAAGGTGTGTGAAGAACCTTTACCAGTAAATGTCAAAGTCCCACAGTGCACGACAAACTCATGTCACACATAAGTAGCCCTTTGCAATATGTAAGATAGTAACCATAGCCCATAAACTTTATTGCGCATATTCGATAAAAACAAACTAACAGAAAATTATGTTTGGTTGTAAATTTAATAAGAAGACGCATCATTTTCCCCACATATCGTTACATCCATATTCATTGTATAATCTCGCTGAGTATCAGTTTGTTCGTAATTCTTATGTGGGAAACTGTAACCTAAATAGCAAAATGTGAAAGCAGTAAAGAAAACTAAACATTACGGGATGCAGGGAATGGTATTTAAATAGTTATGTCAACTTAATTGTTCTATTCACTGTGAAAACGTTACGCCGTAATCAAATTCCGACCATGAGCTTTAGATTTTTGACATTAAATGTCTGGCCTTGCTTTTATTTATGGTCTCACATATATAAGTGGCGTCCTCTGATTAGGCTTAGTAAAACTAGACAACATGGCCTAACTGTGTTTCAAATGCAGTGCGACTGCCTCGTAATTAATGCGATTGAGTGACAACGTAGTTACTTGGCTTCGAATCCTCAGTTTGTTACGGCCTTTTCTCTAGATAAAGTAGATTAAAAGGTTATTGCGCATACACCATAGTAATTTAAGCAATATATTAGCATCTCCCTCACTTAGTACGTATGGTTAGAAAGTTTATCAATGGCGAAGCTTGCGCGCTGAAACGTCTACCCATTATGATTTTCTCCTATAAACACGTTTATCGAAAACAGATGGGTAGCGTACATGTCTAAAGGATTTACAAAAGTTTGCATAACAACGTCAAAGCAAGCTGCAAACTATTCAAATAAATAAGAAGCAAGAGATATGAAAAAACTAAAGAGTAATATAATAAGCAAGATCGAAGTTAGGTTCCCGAGAATTCAGTTAACACGGAATGTGTAAATATGTTTAGTGCAACATATAATCATAGTACGACGGTTACGGCTTCAGAATTATACTTTTTACACCATATATAGCGGTTTCTGCGATACATTTGTTGCTCTCGTCAGCCTAACGATGTTTCGTAACAACTTTAAAGCTCAAGTGAAACTTGAATAGAAAGGGTGCGCTTTTGGTTTACTCTCCAAATGCATGTGATGCAATTTTAACTACGGAGTGGCAACCTAGGGATGTTTAGCATGAGCTGGGTGTAGGGCACATTGGTAAGACAAAGCGTTCGTAACAAAAGGCTTATCATATACAGAGCCACAGATGTTGAGTGCCATACAGATGATACTTAACAACTTGACACCAAGAGTTTGGGCATTTAGAGATTTGCGTGCTAGCAGCTAGTAGTGTCCTCAGTTTCAACTCTCCAAACCGATGTCTATAATTACTGAGTGCGGTTTGAGTATTTGGGAATCTAACAATCCTAGTGAATTAATTGTAAGGTTTGGAAAATGTTCTTAACAAACATTATAGATGGGCCATAGTACTCACTTTCCTTTCTTACAAGCGATGAAATTACACTAGTATCAAGTGCAGACACACGTAAGCGACTTGCATCCAAAACATTACATCCCTGAAATTGAGTATCTATATCACTCGACAAATTAAGTTGTTCATCGGATGAGGTGTTCGACTGGTGACTTTTTGGAATAATCGCAGGAATCTCATCTTTTCCCGTAATGCATACATTTTTGGGGGAAGATATCCTTGTTTCTTCACTTTCTATCTGTATGTTTATGTAGAAAACTGAATTACAACTTACTGCTGATGCACTAAGTGCGTTTTTCAGTGTTTCCACAAGAGACATGTTGTAGGAACTAGATATTTCTTCGGCCCTAGTAGACGTAGTAAAGAGAATCTTGACAACTTACATTTCTCTTATCACGTCAGGGATCGCTGTGGGAAGTTTAAGGTTTGAAGAAGGGGCTACTTACCGGTCAACTTAAAGTTTTCAGCGCATTTCGCTTTCCACAACTCGATAAAGGCATGCAGCTTTTCATTTTGTGTTATATGTCGGTTGTAATCATCTAGCCTTTGTTTGTATTCCAGGATAAAGTCAGTTCTTTCTTTCCTAATGTACAGAAACTATTCATTTAGTCAAGAGAAGTCTTATTAAAACATATGCCATGAAACAGGATGCTTCCAATGCAAAAATATCTGCCTGATAATAATCACGCAAAAAAGACATAAAATTGTCCGTCCTGCACCATGTTGTTGACTGGACTATGTTGAATCAAACCCAGCATCCGGTCGTTTATACGATCGAACTGAGAAGTCCTTGCCGCTTCGTCAGTTCATAGATGTGCACAAAATGACAA